GAAATATATTTATGTTTGTGGTTGTAATGTGACAAAATATGGAAAAGTTCAAGGGGTATGAATACTTTTGCAAACCACTGTATCTGCAGAGCAGAAATTGCCTTCCACAGCAATTATTTTTAGTTAGCATATAGCTAAAATCTAACCATGGTTATATAATAGCAGCTGCATTCTGACGCGATAAGCTGTATGTTTTTATATTCAATTAATGTATGATCTGATTAGTCAACTAATCGAAAAAAGTAATTGGTGATTAATCGACTATAAAAATAATCGTTTGTGGCAGCTCTATTACAGACAAAGGAGCCCTGCGACAGGGATTAGTATACTCTACCCTCCAGTCCCCTCTTATTTTGTCCAAGAAAGAGAGTAAACATCCCAGAATCACCGGAGCTCCAAGCAGCTTGCTCTGCAACTTTCACCATCCACAGTGCTTCCTCTGCGGGATGACTACAACAAAACTACCCCGTTACCTTCTCAGGCTTATATCTCAAAAAGTACCGAACAGATTTACATGAAACTGTCAGGAAATGTTTATTGCACTTTTAGGAAATGTTTATTGCACCACAGAGAACAGTTGATTAAAATTTTAAACATTTCGGAGCATGAGCGGACACGCAGCTCTGATCTGATTACCATGCCACTGAACAAGCACTCTGCACGGGGACAGTTGGAGCGCAAGTCACTCAGAGATCTTGGGAACTCAGAGGTCTAAAATTTACAAACAATAAAAGTGATAGAACCCTATTCTTGATCGAGCTGAATGTTTTGATAGATTAAAGGTTACAATGGCATTTTGTTTACAGAAGTAGTTTAATATCATAAAACATACCGGAGCTACTATAAACAGGAAAACAGTGTGAATTCAAACTATATTTGTACAAGTGTCCTTGCCACTGTTTGGTGTCATGCCCTGATTTAACACCTAAAAATTCTCTTGTGCTTTTGTTTCTTCCCTAAAGCTGGACGGTCGCTCAGAGGGAACTGTGGACTCCAGAGAGAAGCTTCTGGAGTTTTGTTTTGATTACTGCTTCTGGTCGGTGGACTCTGCAGACCCTCACTATGCCTCGCAGGAGGAGGTAATGACCTGACTCACTAACTCACTTTGTTTACACCAGCTAGAGCAGTGGTTCCCAAACTTTTTATCTCCTGACCCACAAAATATCCATGGCAAAAACTTGTGACCCCAAATATTACTGGTCTGAGTACACAAACTTTGTTAATAACCCTAAAAACAAAGGCTACAC